ACGAGATGCGCGAATTATCGACGCGAAGAACGGAAATTTTAATTGGTCATATTCGTGGGATCATAGCCAAGACAGACATGTCTGTCCGGACTCTGCATCCGAGGATCAAGAAGCAGGCTGGATCGCGGATTCTCGTGTTCCACGAGATTCAGAAATGCAGAAAAATTGCGGGAGAACAAAGGACGATCAACCCACGAAATGGAGGAAATTGGTAATAACGGGGTGTGCGAATTATCGACGCGAAGAACGGAAATTTTAATTGGTCATACTCGTGGGATCGTAGCCAAGACAGACATGTCTGTCCGGACTCTGTGTCCGAGGATCAAGAGGCACAGTTGGACCGCGAAATTTCGTGTTCCACGAGATTCGGAAATACAGACGCGCAGATAATGCGCGAGGTGTACCCGAAAGACCCCCGAGATACAAATGATTCGCGACAAATCGGTAATTAATAACGCGAAATTTTTCCTCGACCCCGCGACACCGGCCGATATCAATGGAAACGCGCAGGAAAAATGCCGCTATCTCGCCGGTCATCCGATCATAATAACGCTGCAATGTTTTCCTCGGCTATGAGTCAATCGTTAATTATAACCACGCGATTTTGCTCGATCCTCGCGTCGACCACGACTAATTGCCTTCTTCTATCGCGTTCCCTATTACCATAAAAACTCCTCCGATTCCAGCCTGCTTGTCTTATCGCGGCCGCGATTTATTCTCCAGTCAGTCGATCGATCTCGTTGCTCGAGGACGTCGAGAGATTCGCGTGGTTCGCCACGAATATTCCTATCCCGAAGCCTCTTTTCGTCCAAGATAAATATTCTCCGCGGCGACATCCTTCCAGACCACGCGGCCTCTGATCGCTGTCAAAAGGCTTCTTTCCTCGGAGACGTACGTCCCGAATATCCTCGCTCGTTTCCTCGGCTAACGTCGTTCCCGACCGCTCCACCGCGAATAAGTATCCCGAGCTTTTCCCGTCCAAGATGCGCGTTTCGTGTATCCTTGGCCATTTTTTCACAGCGACGTCACTCGGCCCCGAGTCGCTGTCCGAGGCCTTTCTTCGTCAAAGATGTACGACGCGAACGTTCCCGGCCATTTCTCCCAGTGACGTTCTTCTGCGAGCCTTGGGCTCGAGAACAGTGGCTCCAAAGTGGATCTCGAGCCAATTCTTTGACAATGACGTATAACGGCTAACGAAAATATTCCGACGCGAGGGCTTGCGAATTTTAGCAAGCGCGCGCGGAATCAAAGACTCCCGTCGGTGTTGGGAAAATTGGAAAATAATTACCACGCGTTTCGGGCGTTACAAATACCCGTTATAAATTGAACGTTTAACATACTTCGTTTGGAATGGACGCTGAAACAGTTTTAAACGGTATAGGTCAACGAATTCACCCTGAAATTCCGTTAAAAGAGACCAAGGTCAACCCGAAAGCTCGTCCGCTTTGGAAAAATTTACGACGAAGGTTTCCCCCTCGGAACGGGGTAAGTTTCATTCGAAACGTTCTTGGAAACGAAATACAGTTTAGGAAGTGATTGAGTGCGGAACCGCAAATAGGACACCCTGTATATTCGATGGCAAAGACGGGTAAAGAATCGCCAATTTCTAACGCTAAATTAAAAAATGAAAAATCGGTTATACCGATATTAAAAGAAGAATTGTAAGACGGGGGGGGGGGGG